TTCCTTTGACTTTTCCATCTCAGGAGTTTTCCGTGTCCGTGCATTTGCTGACCTGGATGCCTTACTCTTACCCCTCCACCTCTGCTGCCATTTGGAATCCTACGTATCATCCAAGATTTATCTCAAATCCTATCTCCTCCATGAAGGAATTTGCCGGGGACCCCCAGCTTGAAGGCTCTCTTCTTCTTTTCAGCCTCTTAACATATACCTCTCTTGTGGTATTTATCAGGACACTTATAGTTTGGTTATTTCTCTTCTTATGTAGTGGATATGAGTTTACAACTACAAATTCAGATGGTCAATAAATGTCAACTCAAAAACCATATATCTGACTCTGAGTCCCGGTACCTCCAGATTAGTGGAAAAGTCAATCTTCCGTAGGGATGAATGAGAATTTGAGAAGCCTACATGGTGACCCACGGGGGGATAGGAAAGAGTGTCACGAGCCTTGAGTTTCTAGCCTGTTGTTTGGTCTCATTATCCAAGCCTTCACTGTTCCTTGAAGGGAGCCTGCTGGCTGGGACGTCGCCTCTCTTCATGGTCCGCTCTTCCCGTTGAAGTTCTGTCCTCCTGTTTATGGCACTGTTGGAAGCAGGGACAAGCTCCTGCTACTCCTGGATTCAGCTGAATTCTATTCCCTTTCCATTGGGTGAAATTTTTCCCCTCTTTTGGCTCTGAAAGACACTCCTTTTTCCCTGCATCTTCTTACCAGATAACTAATATTTTCACAAAAGTCACAAAGCCTTCTGCAAAAGATAGGAGAGATTGTCGTCCTGTATTTCTGCCTTCTGCCCTGAGAGACAAACCTTCCTGGGGCAAAGGAGCCAAATGAGCCCGGCAATCTTCTTAGCCTGCAGGAGGCTGAAAAATCACGGGGAACAGAAAACAAGTTCTTATCTGGGTCAGGACTCCTGCTACACTCGTCTAAGTCACCTGATGACAGCAGGAGCTTCTCTCTTGTTCCTATCATTGCAGCCTGTGCACACTGCACAGGTGTCCGCTTTAATAAATGGGCAGAACTCAGGAGGACTCGTTCAGGAAACGTGCATTGTTTGCCTTGTTTTGTTTTTCCTCTACTGCTACCCTCAAACCTCCCGTTGGTTTTCCCTTCTCTGCCCTTGGACAGTATCTCAGGCTAATCCCTTGGCTTTACCTGTCACTTCCAAGTAGTAGAAGAACACTCTTCTCTCCAGTAATTAGGAAACGACTCACGTCAGACTTGCTCTCTCATCTGGTTCGAAGCCTCTTCCGTTTCCTTTGCTCATGCCTAACCTGTGCTCAGAACCCTGGCTTCAGGAAGGGAACTATGGTCTCTTCTTACTCCACGTCCTCTCCTGTCCCCCAGGATGCTGTTGACTCCTTCACCTTCGGAGCAAGGCGTGAAGAGGAGGAAAGATGACAGGAAAAGGAGCAAAATGTGCTTATTCCGCCCGTGCTGTCTGAACATCTTTCTTGGCTGTTGAGTGCCTCCTCTCATGGAAGAAGCCCACATGCTGGCTTGTTTTTCTTGTGAGGAATGTTGGAGGGTTCTTTGAAGGACACTCTCAATCCTGCCCCCAGACTTCCCTCTGCTCTCTGCTCTGCCGTGTGTAACGCACTCTTTGGGTAGTTCCCACGCAGCTCTTTCTCCTGTGCCCACCTTCCTTCCCTAGTGTCCACTTGTCCCGTAGAAGACACTGTGCAGGCTTGCCTCCCTCGCTCCCCACCAAAACCTAGGAAGATCAAGCCAGTGTCCTTGTCCTGCCATCAGGGGCTATCAGGGGCAGCCTCTGTCTTCACTGTGTATGCCTCCAAACTCCTGCGGCCACATGTAGATTCTCCAGTCTGGTAGGAGAACTGGTGCACCTCAGTGAACGTCTGTCTGGGGACTAGACGAGCTGTCTTTTTCCCCTCGTGGCAGACACCACACCCCTGGCTCTGAGAGGGTCTCTGGCTGCTTCCTTCACTTGGCTTGGGTAGAGGGACATTCCAGAGCCCTCTCTCCTGACTGACAACTCTCTTTGAAGAGAGCCTCTTTCTTCCACCAAATCCCCGGCCTCCACTTAGACAGGCTGGAGGTGGGTGATGTTAAGGGCCCTGTGATCAGATTTGGCCACTCCTAACAAGTCCTGGGGAGGTGTGTCCAGCATCTCTCTCTTTAGACCTCATAGTTCTCCTTAGCTGTTGTTCTCGGCTTTGGATTTCCACTGAAATTCCGAGACAACAGGAGATACCTGTTGAATTAAATAACCTCCAAACCCATTCATTTCTTCGGGCATGTAAACATGGAATCGTAATTAAAGAAAATTACTTGTAACAAAAAAAGGAAAATGGACTTCATTCTTATAAACATATTCAGAGCACCAGTTGGATCAGGCAGGTTGCTGTCTCCCACCTGCCTCAGGACTGGCAAGGGCCATTTGTATGTCTGCAGTCTCTTGAACAGCCTTTCTTTACCGATTGCGGTAGACCTTTTCTTCACCATTTTCATTTATTACATGGCGCATGTTGGTGTAAGTAATTAAATCTTGACTGCTTGGGGAAAGTATTTTTTTAATGTTTTTTAAAAGTTGTGGGGCCGGCCCCATGGCCGAGTGGTTAAGTTCGTGCGCTCTGCTGCGGTGGCCCAGGGTTTCGCTGGTTCAGATCCTGGGTGTGGATATGGCATCACTCTTCAGGCCATGCTGAGGTGGCGTCCCACAGGCCACAGCTAGAAGGACTCACAACTAAAATGCACAACTATGCACCAGGGGGCTTTGGGGAGAAAAAGGAAAAATAAAATCTTTAAAAAAGTTGCAGCGCACGTGCAGAAATGAAGCTGCTTCTTATACTCAAGTGCTGGTCAACTGCTTTCTTCCTTCCGAAACCCAGAAAAGGGACTACCACATTCACTATTTCCTACTCCTCCATGGAAAAAACAGTTACACAGTCTTCTAGAACTGTCTACATGATAGAAAATAACCTTTGGATTCAGACACAGGCTTTCTTACCATCCAAGCAGCTTGTGGGCTTGGGAAGCCCATAAAAGGAGAGGGTCGAGACTTCAGTTTGCAGGGATGGGCAGAGAGTTATGGATGGAACTGAAAGGTGGGCTCTGCAGAGGCCTGGAATTTAGCCTTGTGACCTGTGACCCGGAGGAAGTGCTCGTGCTGCGTTTGCAACGTGTTTTTCTTTTGATCATTAAAAAAGAATCTTGACTTTATGCCTGTGTTTCTCAGAGTGTGGTCTAAAGGCCCTCTGTATCAGGGTCAGCTGGAGAACTGTTCCAGCGCAGATGCCTGGGCCCCAGGTAAGACTACCAGGCAGGACCGATGCTTCGGGAAGCTGGAATTTACCTTTTCAACAAGCCACTCACCTCTCAAGTTTGAGAATCCCTGTAGGCTGTGCTCTCCTCATTGGCACAGACACTCCAGAAAGGTATCGGGCCAAGGGTGTTCCTCCCCTTGTAACACAACCACCGAAGCTCCCAATTTCAACTTCCTGCCCTTTCTAACAACCTGTCTTCCCAAAATATGGGCATGTTTCATCTTCTATGAATCCCTCATTTTTTTCTCTCCTTCTCCCTCATTTTCTTCTGCCTTCTATTCTTTCCACTTCCTACTCATTGAGATCATAAATAGTTTTATTCAGTCAATCAGAGTCCTTAGGTTTCCATTTTTAGGGGAATTTTGCAATTTGTCTCTCACGTCTCTCTCCAAATCAGTTGTACTCTGGCCAAGATTGATGTAAGATATACTCCACAACTTGAATATTTTCTATGCAAAATTCCAGAATTCTTTTTGCCCCAAACTTGAGGTATACTTCTTGAGTCCTACGATGTCATCTGGAAAATGTGGTCTGTTTAGTTCAATAATTCTTTATCCAGCCGGTTAGGTAGACTTTCCTCTGCCTTCCTTCTTTCTTGGGAATAACATGATTGTGGAAGAGCAGAACTAGAAGGTAGGCCACCCCGAGTATGTGTGGGGCCCCGTCTGTATAAAAATTGGAGCCTCCCCAAATCAGCTTGTCAGTATCACTCTGGTGGACCAATCTCATGTGATCCCTTGAAAGAACATCTACTCACCAAGCTGCCCTTTTGGCATCGAGGCCTGGCAAGAAGGTGCCAGGATGTCCCCAGAAGTATGAGTCTAGTCCAGGCTTGCTGCAGCCTGCCCAGATGGCATTGCTAGCCCTGGCTCATCTTAGTCACCACAAGGAGACTTAAAGAAATTCAAGGAAGATGCTCCAAACCCCAGGCCACCCTGAGGCACAGGCCCCGTTGGTCAAGGTCTAAGGGCAATACCGCCAGAATACCAGGTATATCTTCCCACCATGGTGCCCAGGTGAATCCAGTGTGTCACACCCACAGGCAGCTGGGAGGTGTGGTTTTTTTAACCTTTATGGAGTTGTTGTTTTATTTTGTTTTGAAAGCTTCTACTGCTTCTAGTGATAATGAAAAAAGTCCTATTCTAATGCTAGGTCCTATATAAATTGTGCCTTTTCCCCTCCCTTCCCCCTCCTCCTTTCCTTCCTTCCTTCTTCCCTTCCTTCCTTCCTCTCTAACTTTCTGTTTCTCTCTTTGTCTCTGACACAACTCAGTTTGTCTTTGGTTCTCATGCAAGCTGCCTCTCTCAGTTCCAAGCTGACTCGTTCTTCTCTCTCACACACACCCTCACATGTGTTCTCAGCCTCTCTTCCACACTCTGTATTCTTCCTTTCAAAAACATTTGATAGGCAAGGTGTCATCTTGAATACTTTTTTTACTCTACCTGAGCTGTGAAAAAAGAGAGAAAGTCCCTCTCAACAGGTCCATGTGTATTTGATCCTGAAAGTCAGTGGCCTGGTCTTCCTCCTCCTCCCTCCCTGCCTCTTTCTCACTCTCTTTGTTTCATTAATATTATTATTATTATTATTTTATGTTTGCTGAGGAAGATTCACCCTGAGCTAACATCTCTGCCAGTCTTCCTCTGTTTTGTATATGGGTCACTGCCACAGCATGGCTACAAGTGGTGTAGGTCTGTACCTGGGATCTGAACCCATGAACCTGGGCCGCTGAAGCAGAATGTGCTGAACTTAACCACTAGGTCAGATGGCCGGCCACTCATTAATATTATTTTTAATCTCCACGATCCTAGGACCAGGGCAGCAGGTCATAAAATTAGAGTGATCACCACACCTGATCTTGGTGCTCTGGACTCCTGTGCCCTGCAGGGTCTCAGCTTGTGAAGGCTGAAGTACAAGGTGTAGAAAGCCTGTTCTTTGGGACGCTACACGCAGTGTTTCTTCATTTATTCAACAGACATTTATTAAATGTACACTATATGTATGCAAAATACTAGGGTACAATGATCTCAGCTCTCAAGGGCCAAGTGTCACGGAAAAAGGAAAATACATAAACAAAGAGAGTAAAACGTGTTGAGCTACACAGGAGCGTGTCCAAAGTACAAGGCTGGTTCAGTGTAAAGCCTGGACTGGAGATCCATGTACCTGGCCAACCCACCTGGACCACTCAGAGTGAGGTTAAAATGCCTGTAGTTTCCTTACAACCTCTTGTCCCGGCTGCCAAGGCTACATGCACAGCGGTGAAAATGGGCCTGGCCTAATACAATCTCTACGACCCACCAAAGCCGAAGACCCTCACCGCACATCGAGGCCAGACCCCAAGTGACAGGTCATGGCATCGCCCATCCTCCCACGGAGGAGGATTGTAAGACGTACATTAAATATAATTTTTCTCAACTGAAATTCCCCTGTTTTAATTTCTTGATGTTCCCAGCCAGGGACTAAACACTGGAATCTCAAAGGAGTCGGGCCTCTTCTCTGAGTTTTTAACCCATCAAGAAACAAAACAAAGGGTGGCAGGTGGACGCCAAAATATCATCATCAATAAAAATAATCATCATAAATTCTGAGGCTGAAATAGGGGTGGTGACTTCATTAGGTGGAGGTCCCAAGCAAAGCAGAACACATGCCCCCTCCCAAGAGCACAATGGGCGGAGCTGAGTGGAGCAGCCCGAGTTATTTTTCCCAGTTACCCATCAGGCTTGCTCCCGCACACGCCCCCATCCACGCGCACCACACACGCACGCCGAGGCTGAGTGTGGGGCCCTAGGGAAAGAGGCCAGAAGTGGAACTAGCAGGACTCCATTCATTTGGAAGGACACATAAAATGGAAGAGTTGTTTCCCCTGCAAATTATTTTATGAACCAAATTGTTATTACAAGTCCATAATCCTACATCAGCAATTCTAAAGTCAAAAAAGCTGTGAAACATTTTCTTCTAAGTTTGTGGAAAACTCATGTGATGGGACCTGAAATGACATGAGATTATTTATGGTCTTTATTTATTATTGTTAAGTATTCATATGTCTTGATACTAAAATATAAATGTCTTTAATTATGGGTGTGTTATTTAAAATACAGTATATGTGCCATCATACCTTCTAAAATCCAGACAATTCTGAATTCTGAAACATATTAGACCTCAAAAGCTTTAGGTGCAGAATTCTGTTCGGTGTGGGAGACAATGAGCCGGCTGAAGAGAAATCCGCAGACGTCTTGGGCACGTGAGGAAAGCACGGGCTGGAGGAAGAGGCCTCGCTCCCCTTCTAAGCTCTTGGTCGGGGCCCTGCAACAAATGACAGCGTAACACGAGGAAAGCAGACGCACTCCCTTAATGCGAGTTTTACGTGTCATGGGAGCCTCCGTAAGGAAATGGAGACCTGAAGAAGCGGCCAGACCTGAATGTTTTATGCTGGGTTTGAAGAAGAGTGGAGAGTCGTGGGAATATGGTGGGATGAAAAGGGGTCTGAGCTGAGGGTAGGAAAGGCGGGAACGAGCAAGGCCTGTTTGCTCAGACCCCTCTCAGTGTCTTAGAGATGAGGGTGCTCCTGTCCTCCAGGTCTAGGGAGGGCACCTCTCGCAAGAGCGTTTTATGTTCTGCTTCGGGGGAAGGTCAGAAAATCGTTCTGTACCTGCTGTTTCTCAAACTCCTTCAGCTTAAAATAGTCAGTGTGTCAAGGTGCTGTGCTTGGGGTAGTGTGTCCTGAACCCTGTCAGCAGGGAGGGGAGAGTTTGTCTAGGCTCTGGGCTGTGAAAGACAAGGTGAGGGTTTATAGTAAATAGTATTTCCTTGATACGGGATTATATAGAATTTATTTATTTTTGGACAATTATACAAAAAAGGGCACCTAAATAAGAGGGAGTGGTTCCATCAGGAACGGCAGACGCTAATGCAGGAGTGCTGCTGGCCGTGGCGCAAGGGAGTCACAGCGCTGGGGCGTCGCCAGTCCCCTGGAGTGAGTCGGAGGCCAAGCAAGACCATTCCAGTTTTCTATAGAAGGGCCCAGATTGGAGTGTGCAAATTGCAAGGCTATGAAAAGAAGGATTTGAATTCTCTTTTCTCTGGCTGAAAATGTCCTGATTCAGTGCTGATGACATAGTTCCTCAGCTGGTTGGTTCCGTGTGAATAGCCAGAACCATCTGGCCGTAGTCAGGGTGTTCGTGAACCTGCCCTCCTGGGGCACAGACAATATTCAATGCGTCTTCTAATGGCTGACCGTGCCTGAGTGCGCAGTGCCTGTGAAGTTATTCCAGCAGCAATGGAAAAGTGTAGCTTACAATCGCCTGAGAATGTTTTCTTCTGAAGGGAATCTCTGATAGCACGCCAGTTTCTGGCGTCACAAGGCGTGGAAATATGTCCGCCTTAGAGCGGCAGCATTCTTGAGTTAGTAGATAGAGGTCATTTGTTTTCACTTCTTAATCAGTGAAGGATTTTCTAGAAGCTGTCAATAATAGTAACAATAACCACTAAATAATAATGAGGTGCCTTGCAAGGATGATGTCATTTAATCATGTCTTGAGCACCTTCTCTATGCCAGGCACTTAGTTTACACGCTCGCATTTAATCCTCACATCACGTCAGCAAGCTGGGGAGCATTTTCATCCCTCGTTTCACTGAGAAGGAGACTGAAGCCGGAAGTTAAGCAGTTTATCTCCAAGCCAACATAGCGGGCAGTGGGAGAGCCAAGGCCGAGATTAACATATTTAAGCACAAGTGTGGCCAGGCCCCAGCCAATGAGGACAGACACTGGCTCGAGAGGTCCCCTGTGTGCCAGGCATTGACTCTCCAGGAACTGGCCTTAGGGAGGCGGAGGATGGGGAGAGTTCCTGGGGCAGATCTGGGACGTCCACGTTTGCTGAAAGTGAGGATGGGGCACACCTGGGCACTCAGAGGAGGGGTTATTTACCAGCCAATATGGACAGTTTTCTATATTTAAATAATTAACTTAATATTTAATATTCCACAAAATATTTTATTTAATATCCAATAAAATATTTTCATCAAATCAAGATGCCTGAACATCACCCTTTGGCAGAACGGAAGATTTAAGCCCACATCTATTTGATGCCAATGCCTCTGTGCTCACGTGCCTTTGTATGTGTGTGTGTGTGTGTGTCTTGTTTCAGCCTTTTTGTTGTGTGCAGCCTCCCGAGGTGCCCTCTTCTGAATTACTTCCACTAAGGAGCTCCCACCTCATGGAGCAAGGCTGAATAACCTGACATTGCTCCTTTATGTAAACCTGAACAGAGCTCTTTTTAATGCCCACTCCTGGTCCTGGTGGAACCTTCTGGAGCAATACTGAACACTTCCTTCCTCCTCCATGTATTGCCCTTATACTTTTCCAAATTCTCTTCTTTTCATCAAAACATGTTCCTATCATGAGCAAGGCACATTTGAATTCTCCTGTCTTCCTTTCGTTTATTTTTATAGTAAGCTTCTACAACAGACCATTCTGATCTTACTTAGAAATGATCTTTTTTATTTTCAATAAGCAAGAAATCATCTCTGCCAAGGGAGGAGATTCCCACAGAAGTAGGGTACCCTATTCTGGGACTCCAAAGTCAAAAGGCCTTGGTTTCAGACTCCTCTTCCTTCAAATACAGGTTGTGGGAAAAGTACATTAATCTCATTTCACACATCTGTAAGATGAGGGATATGATGTTTGATTTTATGTGTCAACTTGACTGGGTCATAGGGTGCCCAGATATTTGGTCAAACAGTATTCTGAGTGTTTTGTGATGAGATTAGCATTTGCATGGTGGACTAAGTAGAGCAGATTGCCCTCCCTATTGTGGGTGGGCCTCATCCCATCAGTCAACGGCCTGAACAGAACAGAAAGGCTGACCCTACCCTGAGCAAGAGAGAACTCTTCCTGCCTCATGACCTTCAAACTGAGATAGTGGCTTTTCCTGCCTTTGGAGTCAAATTGGACCTTAGCTCTTCCTGGATCTCAAGCCCGCCAGTCTTTGCATCATAACGACCCCGCCAGCTCCTCTGGTCTCCAGCTCGCCAACTCGCCCTGCAGATCTTACAACTTCTCAGCCTCTGTAATCGCATGAACCAATTCCTTATGATATACGTATAGACACACACACACGTCCTGTCGGTTCTGTTTTGCTGGAGAAGCCTAATACGGAGGATAACACTAGTGATCGTCTTGTGAGGCTGTTGAGATTAAAATCCATGTTCAGTACTTAGTACACGCAGTAGGCGCTCAATGATTGTTAGATTAAAAGATGTCCCCTGATTTACACACCTGATGGTAGCAAACATAGTTCTCACAAAAGCCCAAAGCAAAATATCTGAGGAAAACTCCACTTATTCCCCCAAGCAGGATTCTCTAGCTCACCTGAGAGGTTATGTGGTCAACCCCACTGTGTTTGGATGAGGAAGCTCGGGACCAAAGGGCTGAGCGCCTTGCCCGGGGACTAAAACCCCTGGGGTGTTCCTGGCTACTGTCGGCCTTCACAGTAGAACCTCGCAGCACCACCACCCCAACCAAGCAGAATGAAGCGCTTCTCTTTTCTCGCTCCCATTGCATGTGCCAATCGTATAGCAACTGAATTTAATTTGTAATTGTTCATTTGCACGTCCATCTTCCCATGACGTTTTAGGAGGAGGACCAGATCCTTTCTCCTTAGTGTCCCTCAGAGCCAGCACAGTTCTCCACGTATAGTGGGTGCTTGGTAACTAAACAGTGAACAAGTGAATGGATGGACAGTTTGAAGCCACTGCTTCTGCAGCCTTGACTCAGGCTACCTAGAGTACCTCCTCTCTCAGTTCCACCTTCCCCACCCCCCGACCTCAGGACATCACGTGGACTCTCAGGACAGAACAGACAGACGTGCTCCAAAACAAACCTCTATGACACACGCATCACAGAAGATGCGAGAACACGTTCCTCTGAAATGTGGATGGGTCTCATCTGAGTTCTCTGTGTATCAAGCCTTCCTATGACCTGTTCCTTTAGGTCAAGTGAGAGAGAGAGAGAGGCAGGAAAGGAGGAAAGAAAGAAGAAGAGAGAATTTAATTCTGGGTCTACTTTCACCTTCTTACAGGCAGTAAGAACTATTAAAAACTGCTTCCAGAACAAAAGGATGCATCAGAAAGGAGAGGAACTTTGACTTAAAAATCAGGCATCAGCGGAGCCCAGAGAGCAGAAGAAACTTTTCACTTATTCTGAGTGTCTTGGGAGATTGCCAAGGATGGAGGAATGATGCCGAGGGGATGTGCCGACAAGAAATCCCACCCGATTCCTTGTTCATATCTGCTACAGTGGTGATGCTTAATTTTTTTTGAGTCTGAGATTGTTTTAAGGATCTGATGAAGGGACTAGACTATCTTGCTAGAAAATATGCGTTGATGTATACATATGCATGAAACATACATGAAACATAATTTTGATTTCAGAGACCCCTAGAATTAGGAATGAACTCTCCACATGGGTGAGCCCAAATATCCTGACCCTCTCCTTGCTGTTTTCCCGCTCTTTCCAGCCCTGGCCCGGCGGGCATAGCCTTAGGCCTCTAGGACATAACGGCTAAGGAAGGCGGGAACACAGGAAGAACGCCAGCACAGCTGTTCCTCCTGTCCCCAGCTGAGCTGAAGTCCTGGACGCAGTCCTCCAGGGAAGCGTGCTTGTCCCTGCTGATCGCTCCCCAGGTTTTCCTGAGGCCCATATTCCGCCACCTTGTGGGCTAACAGGCTGTGAGCTCGCCTGGGGACAGAACCACTCATCTTGTTTCTTGGGAAAAATGTATTTAATCTGTTCCAACCAAAAAGCTTCTGAATGAAGCTTTGGAATTTAGTGAGTTGGGGACAGCCCATGCTCCATTTGTGAAAAAGGAGAGAATATCCTATTAGACAGCCATGGAATTAAACTGCAACCCGGAGGCTGAAAAGAAGCCACATGGTGGGAGAGCATCAGTTTCAATTTTAACAGTTGAAACGTAGACATTAGGACCGCTTGTCTCGAAGCCCTCCCTCCCTGTGGCCTCCTGCACCGCCTCTGTGGCGTCGGTAAGTCGAGGGCAGGCTGCACTTCTCCCAGCTGGTGAGAATTGTTACGTAAACACAGATTTTTTAAAAAATCTTTCTGCAAGGCTGAATAACCAGCTATTTTAATGATCTGAAACCACCTACGGTTTCAGTACTTTGGATTCAATTTTGACGCATAACGTTCTATAGAAAGCACAAGCAAAAATGAATAATTCATGAATGATGTGGTACATTTATGATTTATTTACAGCCCAGAACTCACGGTAACTCAGAGAACCTCAAACACCCCACACCCTGGCTTGCCATTTAAAGCAGCATTTAGGGGAAAAAAGGACAAGACAGAGCACAGGAGATGTACTGTTAACATTATATAAGGCAACGAACAAGAAACATAAATATTTGCTGAGAAATAAATTGAAAGGTGATGAAATAAAAGGCAGCTTTGAGAAAACCAGAAGTATCAAGAGATTGACTCTTGATGCCACGAGAGAAATTGTATGTGCTGTTATTTGTTACGACCTTCTTTCTGTGCTTTTTCCTAGTTAATTCTTCCTGATATCTTGTGAATTTTTTCAGTCTTTCTGAGCATTCCTGTCTCCTAATAAAATGTTAGCAATGAACAAAACCCTAAAATCCCTATGACGGTCATGAGAGGGACATAGTTTTGTCAGCTTTCCAGCACACTAGTTCGTGGTTTGCAAACATTCTGTTACATGCCACAGCTCCCAACCTCCCTCTGCAGCCATTGTCTGGTCCTTACCCCCAGCTCCTCAGTGGGAGGCTGTTTCAGGCGTGGCTCCTTCTGGGTGGCGCACTCCACGAATCTGGCGTCACTCTCTTGTCAATCAAACGAAGAGTTGGGGGTGGGTAGATGGGACTAAGGCTGACATAGTATCTTTCTTTGGTAAAATTACATTTTCTTCTCAAATTGGGCAAAATGGTTAATAAAAAATAAAAATTTATTTTCAAATGCTTCATGAGTTTTCATGAAATGCAACTCCATGTGCACTCAGCACGCCTTTCCCCTGGACCTCGGGCCCAGGGGACAGTGCAGGTACCCTGAGCCGGGCAGGGATCAGGTGGGAGGTCTAGCCTCCCAGGCCTGGGCTGACCCCAGTGTCGCTGTTGAGGTGAATTCCCAATGATAAACCAGCTTTTGGTGGAAGATGGGGGATTCTGAGGGTTCATTTCCCCGGGAGTCATCAAGTCCTGCCTTCTCCATGAAGCTCCCCGGTTACACTGTCTTTGTCTTTATTAAAGATAAAAATCCGACTTTGACGCATTCCTGTTCCGCAGGGGCCTCCCCCCATGCAACGCCTCCCTCCACCTTTTCTATAAGTGGGCCAGATGGAAACGAATCTTCACCCTGGGAGAAACTTTGGCGAGGGGTCCTTAGCATGGACTTGGCCTCTTTCCTCCTCTTCACATATAACTCATTCCTGTGGGAGGTTGTCTTCGTCAGCTCAGGCTGCTGTAACCAATTAGCTCAGACTGGCTGGGTGATAAACAGCAGACATTTTCTCCTCACAGCTCTGGAGGCTGGGAGTCTGAGGTGAAGCTGCCGGCACAGTCAGCGTCTGGCGAGGGCCCTCCTCCTGGCTGGGAGATGGTTGTCTGCTTGCTGCGTCCTGCCATGGCAGAGAGGGAGAGATTCCCTCTCTCATGTCTCTTCTTGTAAGGGCAACAATCCCATCATGAGGGCTTGACTGTCACGACCTAATCACCTCCCAAAGGCCTCCAGACACCATCACTGGGGCTGAAGGCTTCAACACGCGGATTTGGGGGGACACAAACATTCAATTCATAGCAGAGTTAATTCCCAAATTAAAAATAATCAAAACAAAACAAACAGGAACTCTGAACAGACAAAAGGCACTCTGTGGCCTGGGCCATGGTCGGTGCGGGTGCATGAGGTCCAGGCTCCAGGCTACAGCTGGACCACCCACACGTCCGCTCCACACCTGCTGCCTCACTCCCCATCATTGTAGGGGTTGCAGGAGGCGTGTTAACCTGCCAGGCCATCGGAGTGGCATTAGGGGGACATGGGAAGCAGGCCTCCTTTCTCATGTCAAATTTTTCTGTATCTAAGCCTGTGTTAGGGCACAGTGTCCGCACGGAGCAGGTGTGATGTCCACAGAGCAGGTGCTGGGCTGACGGCCTCTCAAGAGGACCATAAACGAAGACAAACTGGTTCCACTGAGTTTGTTGTAAAATGAACGCTTCTTCTCCTTCCCCTCCCTTGGGCTTTTGAGTTGGTCTGTGTGATATTATGAGCATCTGTCTTACTTTCTCCTTTAAGACAAAGAATAAAGTCAGTTGCTTTAGAAGAAAGTAAGAAGAAGAAAGCCAAACAAAGAGGAAACTGGGCTCTTTAGAATGTGCAGGGCTCAATTAAAGAGGACAAAGTGACGCAGACCCTGAATCATGGAAGCGATAGTTACAGAATGGAATAAACTCTGCAATGGGGAAACGTGGGACTCTGGTGTGGGCCTTGTAGCATAAACATCTCCCACAAGCCACACACACTACGGAGCCAAATCCAACTGGCAGCCTAGATTATGAGGCTTCCAGGGAGCTTGAATCTACGTACACAACATTAACAAAGGACCTATGGACAGACTGAGCACTGTGGACCAGCTGTGCCGTGAGCAAGTCCGTCTAAACCGCAGGATCAGCAGGATGGGGTCCCTCTGAGATCACTGGCCACTCCAAGGGTCATGGTGGGCACAGGGATGGGAGACTTTTCAAGAAATCTGCTTTTGCTAAGACGGCATCCTCACCTAAGCCTCTCTCTGGAGCAAACTACCAGAGTCAGGATCAGTTTCCTGCCACGACCTATAGTGGACCAGTGGAGCAACTCACCTAAAAGGGGATGGAGCCTAGAGCACAGCAGCCTATGATGTAACCCAGAGTGTGGGCCAGAGAAGAGCAGCTAACCCAGGCAGCTCGCTTCAAAATGCTGAAACTCTCTGGTCTGCTTGAAAGCACAGTATAGTGAATCTAGACAATTTGGCCTGGGCTAGAACTGATCAGATGGGAGATACGCACAATGGCAAATAGGTTTCAACTGGCACACTGAGCCCACCAGCTCATAGTTGCTCTCTGCAGTGTTGTGTTGAGGAGAATCCTGAGGCTGTGTCTGAGCCCATAGGAAAGAGGGTCGTGATCAGTGGCAATCTCTGCCATGGACCAACGATGAAGGAGTAATGGCCACGTGCCACATACATACCATCTCTGAACTACACATTGACATGGAAAACTCTGAGTCCAAAAAAGTAGGTTAGAATCTAGTTGTGGAAAGCTTTGACTCTTAGACTGAAGAGTCTGGCCTTTATTTTCCAGAATTTTATGGTTCATCTGGTCAGAAACAGGAGTTCCAAAGATATGGAATGTAAATTCCTTTAGCAGGCTCCATTGTCTCCACTTTCCAGCAGGCCTCCACTGCTCCTGTTGTCCTCAACAGTACCATCTCACACTTAAATCACCTGAAGGTATTTGAGCTTGCAACCATGTTGTAGGAATTAGAAAATCACTGATAGATTGTGAGCTGGAAAGTGACATGCTCAGAGCACATAATAGGAGGATTATCCCTGTAGGGATGTGAAAGATGGATTGCAGGAAGAGAAAAGCAAGCTGCCATACCAGCTGGAGAAGTCCCTGGAAGTCTCTATGGAAGTGTTATATGTGCCTAAACGAGAACCGTAGGGGTAGAGAGTGAAGCTGAGAGAGGTTGCAGAAGTGCCATCAAGGTGTAGACTGGGTGTGGGGGACGGAGAGAAGAGAGGCTCCGAAATGATGTCAGTGTTTAAACCTGAGAGACTGGGTGCAGCCTGGTGATCCCACTAACAGAAATGGAGAATTCAAAGAGGGAGAAATTCAGGCTGGGATGTGGGGAGGAAGGAGTTGAGTGGATGAATCTTAGAAGCCAGTTATTTTCTGGATGATGCCACTGTTGTAGACGGACTCACTCACAACACAGCACTGAGAAACGCTGTGACGTGGACATGGTGGCTTGTCCTATTTTTCCCGAGACTAATGGAGGGAATCCAATTTGGACAGCTGACTGGGGTTGAAGGTTCTGTGGCTGTGGAATAAAGCCAAATGAACAGGGATGGAATCTACGCCCTTGACTGGAAGAGCAAAGGACTGACTGGAAATGAGCTCCAGCCGTTTCTGTTATAACATCTAATCGGGTATTGGCTTCCTGCCCTCAGCTTCCTGCCAGCTGGATGGTCACCTTGTCTTATCGCCTGGCACAGCTACGGATGGACGTCACCCTGAACTTGTTTGGTGCCTCATCTCTCTTGATCAAGTGTGGGAGTGACGGAGTGAGCGTGATCGAGAGTGGAAAAGTGTGGCGAGGTCAACGACAAGTGTGGATAGAGTCTTGCTGGATGCCCAGTGTTGCACCCAGCCTGCCCATCTGATCTCTGAGCCCTGCTTCATGATGCCAGATGCGGGCTTTGCTAAAGGTATTGGTCTCACATCCCCACCCAACACCCTGTCATCAATGCATGATGCCAAGACCCATTCCCAGCCGTTGAGTTCTGATTCAGTTATCAGTTAACTTACCGGCTTGGTATAACCTTTTTGTTGTTTTTCCTGATTCCATAGGTTGACTGGGGCTCAGGTGGACGTCTCGCAGGACCCTCACACAGCTGGGGATGGGGTCGCAACATTGAAGATGCTTCATTCGCACATCTGGCCCCTTGGGAAGGCTAGCCAGAAGCTGGACTCAGCTGGGCTACTGCTCTCAGCACGTAGTCTCAGGCCTGTCCCTTTCCATGCCACCTCCTCACGCGGTCTCTCCAGCAGGGTGGCTGAACATCTTACCCAGCGCCTAGGGATTTCCAAAGCACAAAAGCAGAAGCGGCCATATCTTCTGATGACTTAGGCCCAGAAACGGCACAGTGTTGCTTCTGCCTGGTTGTACTGGTTAAACTGAGTCATACAGAGTCATACTGAGTCCCCCAGATTCAGAGTGGGAAAGGGCTACATAAGGATGTGAATATTAGGAGGTACGGTTCTCTGGGGGCATCCAATGTCTTCACATCTCTCTCAGAATAAAACCCTCTGAGGATGTCTGTGAAATGCACCCCACACCCTCTGACCCCAACTCCATCCTCCCTCTCTCGCCCATTCCCCTCTAGCCAATCAGGCCCCCTGCCTTTCTTTAGCCTGGAAGAAGAGGGCTGGAGGGAGGGACTCAGGGCGGTGGGGGCGGGAGGCTGAGTGAGCCTTGCTGGACTTGTGGAAATCATTTAGGAAGACAATTAACGGTAAGGGAATCCCAAGAGAGGGTAGCACACTTAAGGATTTTGGAAATTGCCAGCTGTGTGGTTAAAACATGGAGCAGCTATTGGGGTTTGTAAGAGAGCTGGTGGCGCAGCGGTTAAGTTCGTGCACTCCACGTTGGAGGCCCAGGGTTCACAGGTTCGGATCCTGGGCGAAGACCTACGCACCTCTCATCAAGCCACGCTGTGGTGGCATCCCACATACAAAATAGAGGAAGATTGGCACAGATGTCAGCTCAGGGACAGTCTTCCTCACCAAAAAAACACACAAAAAACCCAAAAAGACAAAGTGAGGCTAAAAGAGACAAGGAAGGGCAAGATTGTGAAGGAAATTATGTGCCAAGCCAAAAAATTTAAGTTTAGTTCCCTAGATATTGAAGGGTTGTAAGCAGGAAAACTTGATCCAATTTTAGAAAGAGCATTCTTTGGCAATTTGGAAGATGTACTAGAAAGTGTACAGATTAAAAAAACCAGAGAGGCCAATTAGGAGGTTGTCACAAAAGATCAGGCAACACACGGTGAGGATCTTAGCAGGGCTGTCCCTAGGGTGTGAGAGTCCCTGGGCAAAATATTTGGGGCGATGCCCTGTCTATATTAAAAAATTTGATTAAAAATGTATTACAGAGTTTAAGGGCCCATGAAAGAGGATTAACTGATGATTTAGAAAATGAGTGGGGTGGGGATATTCATAACTGTTTTCTATCCAATCAGTGCATGGCAAGACCCTTCATACTATCCAGGCGCCATCTGTTAGCTGCAAGGGCGCGTCTTCTACCTGCCCCGAAGCTTCCAGAGGCTATCAGCTGATGACCTACAAAAGTGACTTCACTAAAGAGGTAGAAATGAAGCCCAAACGTGTTGTAACGATGTCAGATCAACCCTGACCCCGAGGAAAACCTGCAGCAGCCGAGAGGAATCTCTATTGCAGTGGCCTGCAAACCCGGGCCTGGCTGGAAGCCGTGGAGAGCGAGAGCCAGAACAGGGCGGGGTGTGCTCCGCTGGTGGATGGAGCAACTGCCCTTTGACCGCTTCTCTTGGTGTGCTTGCACAGTGACCCTGAGATACTTAGTCCCACGACTTCCTGTCATTGACAAGGGGCACTTCTGCTCAGACTTGCTCCTGTGTCCTCCTTCCCCTTCCACCACCTACAGTGCCACCCACAAGGCCCCTTCCAGCGGGGGGGCACACACCCAGCCATGCCCTGATCATCCGTCGGGCACGGCTCAGTGTCACTCCTCTGAAGCCCCCTTGTCCCGTTTATTCAGAATTAAGCGATGTTACCGCCCTGAGTGTAATCCCTGCCTCCACACATTCTGCCACCACTCTTTTGTGTTGTGTATGTGATTAAGACGATCCTTGCAGACCCGAGTCCTGTCTTACTTACACTCATTTCTCTGACAACATCAGCACAGCACTTGACTTTTCTGCATTTTCACGTCCTTGGATGTTAACTGAGAATTCCACATGCTTAAAAGACTTAAAAACAAGTAAGCATGCATTCACTGGCCGCTTCGATGGCCTCTTTGGTGAAGGGCCTATGTCTTTGTCTTTTGTCCCCTTTCCTGTTGGGTCACCTGACTTTTTCTTATGGATTTGTAGAGGCCTTCACATATTCTGAATAAGAACCCATAGTCAGTTCTAAGTATTGCAAATAACTTCTTCCACTCTGGGACTTCCTTTGTAATTCCCTTAAGAGTATCTTCTGGTGAAAAGAAATTCCTAATTTTAGATAGCCCAACTTATCCTTTTATTTATGACTGGTGTTCTTTGTGTCTTAAGAAATCTTTGCCTAGCCCCAAATTGTAGTCTCCTAAATTTTCTTCTAGAAGCATTATTTTCCCTTTCATGTTTAGATAGTCAATGCATCATAGAAAAAACTGATCAACTTTTTCTAGACACTGTGTAAATATCCATGGCTCTCAAGATCACCATCATTCAGGCTGGTTCTATTTACAAATACGAAAAAAATCCTGTGTAAGTTCTTAAAACACTGACCTGTGATATCTTGAGAGAGACGACAAGGCGGTTTGCGGCAGTTTCCTGGGCTGCAGCCACCTCTGCAGGCCCCGTGCGCACAGCGCTGGACCGAGACAGGGAGAGAAGCGGGTGCGGTCAGAAACATCCCTGGTGTGCAACAGTGCCAGACGTAAACGCCAGCGCTGCTCCTGAGCTGTCCGTGACCTTGGGCAGGTACTTACTTGCCTTCAGCCTGGGTTTCCTGATCTGGAGGATGGGGACAGCAGTAGCTAAAATGCTGGAACGACCGCCCCCGCGATCTCGCGTGAGCCTCAAAGCGACTCCATGGGTTACGGACGATTCATCCCGACTCACACCCTCCGCACAGTAGACTCGACGAGTCAGAGGCCGCGCCAGGATTTAAAGCTGAGCGGCTGACCCCAGGCTCACACAGGTAAACCCCGAGCGTACTCCCTCCCCATTCAGATCCAAGCCCTGTGGTGGCAATCAAATGGGACAAGCCGCGTAAAGTGCTTAACTCCGTGCCGGGACCCTGCTAAGTGCTGAATAAAGGTGAGGATTTGTGAGCACAACGGTAGTCAAAGAAGTAGTCCGCATTGTCGCATCCCCGGGCACGTGGGAAGTAGCGCCGGAGGCCCTATCCCCCCAGGAAGCAACAGAGGAAAGCTTTGGAGCTCCAGACGGGACAGTCGTGAGCGTCATGGGTCGGGGTGGTGGGGGCTGGAAGCACTCACTGCTGGCACAGCCAGCATCATGACCCCCCGAGGGGAGTCCTGTAGTCTCTCTCACCGTTTGCCTGTCCGCCTTGCTCCCTCACCTGGTAGATAATAAAGTGCTAGGAGGGGCCAGGCCTGTTCTAGGAGCCAGGACACACAGTGAACACAGCAGTCAAATTCTCTGCCCTGCGGAGCTCACATGCTGGTTGGGGAAGCCAGACAGAAAGAAATGAATCAGTAACTATGTAATATTTAATCAGCGCTGTGAAGATAAGGAACGCAGGTTAGGACAATAGAGAGCGGAGAGGCAGGGGGCAAAAGGGATTCGTTTATGGAGAGGGAGGTCAGGGAAGGCAGCTTTGTTGAGGTGACATTTGAAGAGACGCCAAAAAAAGTGAGGACGAGAGTACAGAGGACCCTTGGGGACAGAGGGTTGTGAGTAGAGGGTCAGTAGTTTCAGAGGCCCTGAGGTGGGACTGTGCTAGAAGCATTCAAGGAGCAGCAAGGAGGCCGGTGAGCCTGGAGTGGCGTGAGCATGGCAGTAAATGAGACCAGAGGGGTGTGTGGGGCCAGATCATGGAAGGCCTTATGGCCTTGGTAAGGGAGGCAGCTTTATATAGCGGTTAAGAACATCATTCTGTCAGCAAATTCTCTAAGTTCATATGCTGGCTTTACAATTTATGTGACCATGCGCATTTTATGGCACCTTTATGTGCCTCATCTGTACAATAGGTACACCTCTTTGTGCCTCATCTATACAATTTTTCCTCATCTGTAAAATGGGAGTAATAAACCAAATTAGGCTTGAGCAATTTCTGGCAAATATTTTGGCATCTAGGTAAAGAACTGATATTAAAGCCTTTCTTTCTTGAACTTATAATTCTTGGAAGGTATTAAGCCTTTACTCGCATAAATACCAAAAATAGATTTTGTATTAACCACACAGAGGGTGGTGGTTGAGGCTACTATCATGAGATAATTGAAAAAAGAGTCTCGGTGATGGTATTTCGCTCATCAGTGACGGTACTGACCACTAATTACAGTGGCTGGTCGTGGTGGTGTTTCAGTGGACAGATGACTTTGCGTGTCGCAGCTCAGCTTCCACCGAGGGATGGGGGTAGGTCTGGATCTGACCGCTCATCAGACCTCATGGTGGAACGAACTTCGTCCCGCACAGATTCGGGGCACTGCCTCAAGATGACTCAAGTCCCGTGAAGGAAGACGAATCTAGGCCAAGGATAGAGGCTGCAGAGGACGATGAGCCTTGATGGGAGGACATCAATATTAGTGCCCTAACATGCAACGTAATTAGATTTCAGGTCTAGACTCTTCTGCAAACAACACGAGCAGACAAGGACATCAGGTCAAGATTTTAGTACAGAGAGTGGGATGACACTAAATCTCTCGTGGGTGTGTTCTCGCTTATCGAAGGTGACTTCTGCTACAGGGTGCGGGTCAAGGGCTCATGTTCATTTGGCAGGGCCAACATCCTCAGGGTAGCAAGTGAGCAAAAGGCTTGGGCGGCGTCTCTAGGCTGCCTTCTGTAGTAGGGGTGATTGTGACGATGAGAAGCCTTGTTCCACTGTCGTTTTTCAGTCGTCACTTTGTGAAGCGTCCGCCACGCTGGCCATGAGGAGCTCAGGGCTCCGCCGCCTGCAGCCTTTGGTCTTCCCTCCAGAACAGGATCAGGGCAGGAAGAGTCACAGAGGCGGTTCTGAGGCGTGCAGTCTTGTTGGAAGGGTTTAAACTAATCTGTTTTGAGGAAAATGTTCTGCTGACACTGACTCTTTGGGTACTTTTTATCCCAAAAGGCCAGATAAGATGGGCCTAGAAGTTAAGTCTGTGGGATAATAGGTCCAAGAATAAAAATCAGAGATGCTACTGACCACAAGATATACGCAGCTCCTCCCCTCCCCCACACCCCCTCCTTTCACCCCAGCAGGGGAGAGTGTGGCCAAGCTGTAGGCTCCAGATGCCTTCCACTTGACAAGGTGGGAGCCGAAGACAGAAGGCCTCAGAGCTCAGACTAGTCGGAGCAAATGCAGTCGCGAAGTTGCATGTGGTCTACCCCACGCCCCAGGGTGTGCACATGGCCGTGAGCCCGGGCCCAACTGCATATAACATGGCCGCTGCCCAGCATCATTTTCTGGGCTGGCACCTCACTCTAGAATAGAACTCAGGTGTGCAGGGCTCCTTGGCATCAATCCCTCCATCGCCTTATATCCTTAACAGGGGGCATAGATTTGGTGGACCAAGAAAGCATGCTCACTGGGGACCAGCATTTGGGGAACTGAGACCCTCGGAGAGTGAGGGATGCTTTTGTAGGATTTGGTATTAGCAGAAAAAGGGATTTCTTTTGGGTGCCAGCTTGTCCAGGACGTAAAATGCTGGATGAGCAAAGCGCCGTGCGAGCCAAGGCCAGCTCCTCCGTCAGCATCCTGATGGGTCCGGGGGCTCTCACCCTGGGATGCTCAGCCAAGGAAGTCAGGTCAGAGGGAGAGAGCACCATCGCCTCGTTAACGTCCCATGCATAACAAAAGTGGGTGGCAGGGAGAGTCCTGTTTTCAGAGAACACTCTGTCTTACAGCTTAGTCAACAAGAACAAGCACATTTCAAAATGTGTGACATTTCAGCAGGAGGCATGTACAGGTCCACAATCATTTCTCTCCAATTGCAAAATCCTGAAACCTCTGAGAAACAGAAGGTGATTTGTAAGTGCAGGGACAAAACTCATCTGGTGGCAAAACAGTTCTGACCATCAGTCATGTCTCAGAGTCCCCAGCCATCACTCCTGCATCTGCTGTGTGCGTTTTTGTTATTTTGAAATTTGGGTTTAATTTCACTCTTTGAAGAGAGTTAAAGCTGCCCCCGGAGGTAACAGGGAAGAGAAGGGAAGGAAGGAAAGGAAGTAGCTGTTGTGATCAGTAATTCAGCAGAAAAGTTGCACAGAAGACAGATCATGTTGTCTGTCTTAACAAAAAATAGAATATTGGAATCAAAACAATCTATGACTGAAACCAGAAGGACAAGCAGTGGGAGATTTCCTGTGTGTGATGACCAAGAACCAATGAACGGCAGGAAACGCTGCAAAGGGAGGCAGCGCAGGTCATGACCACGCATTGATAATGGACTTGACAGCAGACAAGTGAATGTATACCACTAGTCTGTTGGTCACGAAGTAAGCTGTAACATACTACAAACAGTGAGCATTGAAAGCAATGTGAATATTCAGAAGGCTGCTGGATTCATCAGGGTTCTCCCGAGAAACAGAATCAATAGGATATTATTTTTTGTGTACTATATTTATGCATGAAAGAGATTTATTTTAAGGAATTGGCCCACATGCCTGTGGGGCTGGCAATTCCGAAATCTGTAGGGCAGTTCGACAGGCTGGAAACTTCAGACAAGATTTCTGTGTTAGAGTCTTGAGGCAGAATTCCTTCTTCTCCAGGAAATCTCAGTTTATGCTCAAGGTCTTCAACGGCTTGGATGAGGCCCATCGACATTATCGAGAGAATCTTCTTAAAGTCAACCAACTGTAGATGTTAGTCACATCTACAAAACACCTTCACAACATCATCTACACTGATGTTTGACCGAATGACTGGCCACTGTAGTCTAACCGAAGTGACACATAAATTTAACTGTCCCAGCTGCCTACAGAACTTAAGAGCATCATTATGTAAATATCTAAAAAATCTGTAATGAAAGCACTCCTGCTGATGTGGAAGCAACTAAAACCTTGATAAACTTGTTAAAATCATGTCTGATACAAACCTTAGCCTTGAACATATTTATAATTTTGATAATCAAGTTCTATGTCAGTAATAATGTTGCCCCCACACCACCTGCAAAGATAATCATTAACGATGGCTGATGAGATAGCACCTACAGGTTTTGGGGACACTGAACACAGGGGGACTGCTCCTGGCTGTGCAGCGCTGCAGGAACACACAGATAAACTCAGTAGTGCTTAGGAAAAGCCTGCACCCAAGAAACTTGAAAGATGCGTGCAATTTACCTGTACCATAGTGTGCAAACAAGAAAGTATGAGAAATTAGAGAGCTATCTCATGATGATTCAATAGCCACTTCGTGCCAGCAGTGTAGGCCGTTTCAGGCAAGCTGGCCTGGGAGAAAATTGTAAGGCTGTGCTGCTCTGGGACCATGGCTTTGCGTGTCCTCTTCCAGAACTCCTTACGTAAGATTTTCAGTTTTTCTTTTCCTCACAAGGTGACATCAGTAGCACAGCTTCAGGACCAAACAATTTTATACATGGTGAAGAGCAAGTATAAACACTTCTTTCCAAACTGTACGTTTGCTTCAGGAGTCAGAAGCCCACGGATCTAAGGCTTCCTAAAAGAGCTTAGTCCTAAGAATGCCATTTATGGTGCTGCCAGTGCTCGGGAGGATACTGTTAACCAACACTGAGGGTGGGCCGGACTACGGCCTCTCAGATGCTGGAAAATAAAATGGCCGAAAAAGACTCAGAGAAATCGGGGGTCATTAATGAGAAAATAATTCTGTTAATCTTTGTTATTCATACCAAATATTTACTGGCTGGATATGTTAGCAGAAGCTGATAGCAAAGAAATATTGATCATTGACAGTAATGCAGTTGTATTTCTTGAGTAAAAGGGAAATTGCTAGACAGAAATCCTTTTAATGAAATAAATCACACTGGAGCAAATTTCTTCTTGTATTTTATTTATTTGTTTTTTAATTAACATCATTTCTCACGATTCTGTGGTTGCCTGGGAAGTTCTGCGGGTCTCACTTGGGCTCACTGGTGCATTGCAGCCACCGAGAGCTTGGTGGGGCAGAAATGTCCAGACAGTGTCCTTCACA